AAAGTAAACTTTATATTCCTATTTAATATTGTAGTGTTGTGCATGCTTCAATTTAAGATAATTTAAATTTTAAAAAATAAAATAACATTTAAAAGTTTTAATTAATTAATTTTTGTATAAGTTGGTTGGTCTTTTGGTTTAACCGATTAGATTAAACCGTTTTCGATTTGACTGATTCACCGATTTAACCGCGATTTCTCATACTGATTCTTAATTTTAAACAATTAAAAAAATCTTCATTGACTAACTTCTATTTAATCATATAAAAATAAAACTTTAATTAGTTTATGATTTATTTTACAATCTCATATCGAGAGCAGAAGGAAAAAGTAAATTGTTTCACTTATATAAAATGAATCTTATATTCCTATTTAATATTGTACTATACGGCATTCTGGTGGTGAACATGGAAAATAAGACCACATGGGCACAAATCTTTCTGTTAGCAGGACTAAACGGAACAAAAGTATAGAGTTGGAACTGATTGGTTAAAGAGTTTGTGAGATATTATTTATTGGTAACTATTCCTTTATTTTATAATCTCATATCGGGAGAAAAATGAAAAAATAAATTGTTTCACTTATATAAAGTAAACTTTATATTCCTATTTAATGTTGTAGTGTTGTGCATGCTTCAATTTAAGACAATTTAAATTTAAAAAAATAAAATAACATTTAAAAGTTTTAATTAATTAATTTTTGTATAAGTTGGTTGGTCTTTTGGTTTAACCGATTAGATTAAACCGTTTTCGATTTGACTGATTCACCAATTTAACCGCGATTTCTCATACTGATTCTTAATTTTAAACAATTAAAAAAATCTTCATTGACTAACTTCCATTTAACCATATAAAAATAAAACTTTAATTAGTTTATGATTTATTTTATAATCCCATATTGGGAGAAGAAGGACAAAGTGAATTATTTCACTTACATGAAGTAAACTTTATACTCTCATTTAATATTGTAGTGTTATAAATATTTCAATTTAAGACAATTTAAATTTTAAAATTAAAATAACATTTAAAAGTTTTGATTAATTAATTTGTGTATAAGTTAGTTGGTCTTTTGATCTAACTAATTAGATTAAACCGTTTTCGGTTTAATTGATTCACCGGTTTAATCGTGATTTCTCATACTGATTTTCTTAATTTTAAACAATTAAAAAAATATTCATTGACTGGCTTTCATTTAACCATATAAGAATAAAACTTTAATTAGTTTATGATTTATTTTATAATCTCATATCGAGAGAAGAAGGAAAAAGTAAATTGTTTCACTTATATAAAGTGAATCTTATATTCCTACTTAATATTATAGTATTGTGTATAATTCAATTCATGACAGTTTAAATTTTAAAATAAAAACTCTAATTAGTCTATGATTTATTTTATAATCCCACATTGGGAAAAAAAAAATGATTTGTTTGACTTATATAAAATGAATCTTATACTCTCATATCTATATATTATATAAGAAAAATGAGTTTTTAGTGAGGAGTTTTGTGAGTTTTAATATCTCATATTGATTTTCTTAATTTTCAAATTTTAAACAGTCAAAAAAATCTCCATTGGCTAACTTCTATTTAACCATATAAAAATAAAATTCTAATTAGTCTATGACTTATTTGATAATCCCACGTTGGGAGAAGAAGGAAAAAATGAGTTGCTTTAATCATATAAAGTAAATCTTGTGATCCCATTTAATATTGTAGTGTTATACATGTTTCAATTTAAGACAATTTAAGTTTTAAAATTTAAATAACATTTAAAAGTTTTAATTAATTAATTTTTGTACAAGTTGGTTAGTCATTTGACTTAACTAATTAGCCTTAACCGTTTTTGATTTGACTGATTTGTCAATTTAATTACTATTTCTTATACTGATTTTCTTAATTTTAAACAATTAAAAAAAATTCATTGGCTAACTTCTATTTAACCATATAAAAATAAAATTATAATTAGTTTATGATTTATTTTATAATCCCACATCAGAAGAAGAAAAAAAAAAGTGAATTGTTTCACTTATATAAAGTAAATCTTATACTTGCATTTAATATTGTAGTGTTGTACATAATTCAGTTTAAATTTTAAAATAAAAACTTTAATTAATCTATGATATGATTTATTTTATAATCCCACATCGAGATAAAAAGAAAAAAGTGAATTGTTTCATTTATGTAAAATGAATCTTGTACTCCCGTATCTATGTATTATATAAGCAAAAGAGAATTTGAATCACTAGGATTGTGGGAGTTCCAAATTCCCAACATGAATTTTTAGAATTTTTATATTTTTAAATAATTAAAAAACTTTCTATTGGTTTACCCAACTAAAAAAAACAACTCTAATTATCCTTTAAATTTGAATGAAAAAACAAAATTAATTATCCTTTAAATTTGAATGTAAAATTTTAAATATCCCACTAATATAGAAAATCACGTCAATTAAAAACATAAAAAAAAATAAAAATGATCTATGCTTAAAAACATATCAATACTTTTGAATTTCAAAATTCAAAAACATATATCCCACTTAACATGAGAAGTATTAATTTCTTTCAATATTTCCTTCCTAAAAATGATAAAAGACATTTACCTTTAAAAACCCTAAACAACCTAAAAATCTAAACAAACTCCATATTCAATTACTTAATATGAGAAGTATTGATTTCTTCCTATATTTCCTTCCTAAAAATGATAAAAGACCTTTATCTTTAGAAACCTTAAACAACCTATAAATCAAATGTAAGCAACTCCATATTCAATCTCTTTCCAGAGGGCAACCAACTCTCTAAAATTTATGTGTATAAAAAGGTTAGTCTCTCTCTTAATGCGAATAGGCTAAGTTTGAAGTAATTGAAAATTGAAGAGTAACATTAAGTTATGAATATGTAATTGTTATATATTGAACCATGTAAATTTATCTATATATATGTATACACATGTATTTAGTTATCTTTGTTGTTCTCACATGTACGATTTTATCGATAAAAATAAATAAATAAATAAATAACAATAATTATAAAAGCATTACAAAAATTCCTAAAATTAAAAAGATTTTTTTTATTCATTTTATTTATTTATTAGTATTTGTATATACAACACATACAAAATTATTCATTATTTTATACAAGTCAAATTTGAGTTTATTTGAGAATTTATGCAAGCTCAACTAATTTATTATCAATTAATGGTTAATCATAATTTTAATGGCCAAACAATAGGATGAAAGGTGAAGGCAACTTGAGATTAGAGAAGAGAGGTTATGAGTAGGGGTAGAGATCGACTTGGGAGAAAGGTAGGGAAATGAAATTAAAAGTAAGGGTGATCGCGTAGTAAATATGTTTTAAATAAGAGTCGATGTGGTCAACAATGAGGAGATGAAAATTAGTGAGATGATGATTGGTGAAGGATGGAGACTTGATAAGTGTTATCAGGATATATCATGCTACTTTTAAAAATAAATAGTTAACAAATTTATAAATTAACGTATTAGATAGTCGTATGTATAATCATTTGATAATGAGAACCATATACAATTTTTTTTTTCTTCACAATAACTCATTTTAAATCACCAAATCTCGTGCAAAGCACGAGCAATATACTAGTTACATATTTAATTTAAAATTTAAAATTTGCTAAACATGTACCCATCATAATATCTAAACAAATTAGTTCTATGATAATTGCTTTTATGCTGTGTTTGGTTGGAGGATTTGGGGAGGGATTTGAAAAGGGAAAGGGAAAAGGTATGTGAAACTATGTGAAATATAGGCATGATTTATTCACATTTCACCTACCTTTTCCATTTCCTTTTCCAAATCCCTCCCTAAATCCCCCAACCAAACACAGCATTAAGGTAAATTATACTTACACCTCCTAAGATTTTTATTTAATATAAATCCTTATTTTATATTTGAAAAATTACACTTATTCCATGTTAATTTAAAATGACATATTTATCTCTTAGCATTTATATATATAAAATAATAAAATAATACAAATATTTTACTTATGTCATTTTAAAAGAAATAACAATAATTTTCTTTGATTTGACTCACAACAAAAATTTTTTTTTTTTTTTTTTCATATTTCTTATTTTTACAAATTTTTTTTAATATTTTAAACAATTTTTTTAATTTTTAAATGTATTTAAGAAGTATAATATTTTTTAATTTTTTTTTAAATTCACCAAATACAAAAAAAAAATACAAAAATTCAACACATTATTTTATTTTTCTTATATTCAATAGAAGATCTAATCTAGATATAATGGTAAAAATAAAAATGAAAAATCATATTCATTTATAAAAATTTATACAAAAAATATCATAAAAATATTGTAAAAAGTAATCATCACTCAATAAAAGTATGTTCAAATAGAATTTAATGATGAAGAGTTGTAAAAGGTAATCATAATGATAGGAATAAGAAAAGGTCAAAAAAAGAACAAAATGGTCATTTAAAAATTTTTAGGGTATAACATCAACAATTCATGATACAATTTGTAATGAGATTATAAACTTTAAGGAGAAAAATGTAAATTTTCAAATGAATAAAGAATTTGTATTAAACAGAAACCTCATAGTGTCAATGTAATTACCATTCTAACTATGTTAAATAATTACTAAGTAAAGGATGGATTGTTTGGTGCATTATTGAAGATGTTCACATTTTATTTTTATTTTTTTCTTAAATACATAACAAAATATTTAGGCCTCGTTTGGCATAACCTATATAATCCATCTTTTTATCTTTTTTTTCATTACATCACCTCTCTACTTTTCTGCACATCTTTTCGTAAAAAGATAAAAAAATACACTTTTTTAAGACACCCCAAACCAACCATAGTACAATTTTTACTTAGGCCAAGTTTGAGAAGACTAAATAAGTACACTTTTTGACTTTTTTTTGTATTATGTGTAGAATTTATGATTTAAGAATAACTTTAAAAAATTAAATTGCACCAAACAGACCATAAGAGACAGAGAGAAAAAGAGTTAGAAGAATAAGCTACAACAATTTTGATTTGACTTGCCACACTAATCCCACCTTTTTTGTTTTTGTGTTTTTTTTTTTTTACACCACAAGAATTGCCATCAAATCTCTCAAAAGAATTTCCTAGCTGTTTGATCAACAGATCTAATTGTCAAACTCAAAGAAAAAAATAAATTAAAAAATCCAAATCAGACATCACAACCCTAGAAATTTTTAGGACCACATTATTTTTGATTGACCCAATAACCCTAACAATAACAACAATTTTAGAGAAGAAAAATAGGGGCAAAAGGGTAATTTTCCTGTCATGAGAGGTTGGGATACTGTGTGCACCTCCTAGACAGGTAAACTTTGCAATCGTCCTTGGGACAAATGGTGGGGACATAAATGATTTCATCACAGCCGTCCGTTCTGTGTCGCTTGAAATCAATCAACGACGTAAACATAGCTATAAAGAGAACCAAGTGATTGATTGCGTACCTCTGGCCCACACACTGGTGGGCCCCAGCTCCGAATACTAGAAAGTTCTTCTTATAAACCCGGTCCTCTTGCCTCTCCTCCATGAACCGGTCCGGGTCGAACTGGTCCGGTTCAACGAATCCTTGGAACGAAGATTCGTAGACCGATGGGAACACGATCGCTCCCTTGGGAATAGTGTAAGTCTCCGTCAGCTTGAATTCCTCGCCGGCGACGTGAGGTACGAGAGTCGCCGGAGCGCGTATTCTCACGACCTCACGCGCCACAGCCTCGGTGTATTTCATTTCCCTCAATTGCTCGGAGGAGATCGGAGTGTTCGATTCCGGAGACCAGATCGCCGCCACCTCACGGCGGACCTTGGCGAGGACCTCCGGGTGAGTGTCGAGGAACGCCACCGCCCACAGCAGCGAGGAAGTCGAGGCGTCCTGCGCCGCGAAGAGGAAATCGAAGATGTGGCCGCCGATCTCGATCGACGAAGTGTGCGGCGGCGGCGCCTTACCTTCCGCCGCAGCCTCCGCCTCCTCCCTCAGAACCTCCTGCATCCAGAAATCAATCAAACAAGTAGGATCGTGACCTTCCTTCATCTTCTTCTTACTCTCTTCAGCACAAAGAGCTAGGGTTTCGACCAGTCTCTTCACTCCCAAACGAGCCTCACGAAATGCAAACCCAGGCAAGTCAATCGGGAGATTCATGACGCCTACATTGAACAAATTGTAGTCGTAATTGAAACTCTCTTTCGATTCGGCAGTTAAATACGGACCGACAAACACAGTCTGCGAAGTTTCTAAATTCATGTCGCGACAGAGGAATCGAAGATTAATCGGCTCGCCGGCCGACTTCGACGACAATCTCTGCCAGTGAACAAGGTGCTTGAGTATGATTTTCTGTTGAATAGATGTGTAGGTAGACAAAGCTTTAGGGTTGAAATTGGGGGCGATTCGGCGTCGGAGATCCTTGTGGTCCTGGCCGAACATGTAGATGAGATTATGCTCTCCGAAGAGTTTCTTCCCAAACGGATGGCCTACGAGATGGAACGCATCGGGGCGAACATTAGCGAACACTTTGTGAGAAAGATCGGAGGAACGTATGAAGACGATGAACTTGCCAATGATGTAATTTGCGGAGAAACCGGTAGAGTCTGCCATGGCGGATTGGAGCTCCCAGAACCTCGTCGGGTTTCGAACGAGCGATATCGCGTTGCCGATGAAGGGAAACACCATTGATGGGCCTGGGATTGAGCTCTTCTTCTTCAAGTAGAATATCTGTTCAAGTAAAACAAGTAAGAGAACGAGAGAGAAGAGGTAGGGCGCGAGAGTGAGCCAGATTGACTCCATTGTTGCTGTTGTTGTTGGAGTTGTGTTTTCTCTCTCTAGAATTGCGGAGAACGGTAGAGAGAGAGTGAGACAGACAGACAGACAGAGGGGAAGTGGGGATGGATGGAACAGTGGGTCAGAAGGGTCTGTGGGTTTTGGAAGGGATAATATAAAGGAATGGAAATGCAAATGGAAAATGGGTGAAAGAGTGGCGTGGCGTGTGAAATAAGACCAAATCTGAATCTGGATATGAATGGCGAGGTTGAATGGCGAGGTTGGAATTTAAAATACACACTATTTCTCGGAAGCACACCGTTTGAATGGCGAGGTTGGAATTTAAAAAACATACCCTTGATTTTTATTTCTCGGAAGCACACCGTTTGAATGGCGAGGTTGGAATTTAAAATACACACTATTAAAAAACGTTCGAGACTTTCAAAAAAAACTCTCTCCAATTTAATTTAGGTGATGTTTGACAATTCACAAAAATCTATACTAGCCTGTGTTTGGAAAGCCGACTTTAACTTCTTTTTAAAATTATAATTTAAGGTTAAGTTTGGCATGTCTTAAATAATTGATTTTTTATTATTTTATTTTTTTTTATCACATCACTTCTTTATTTTTTTGTACATCTTTTTGTAAAAAGACAAAAAGTACACTTATTTAGGTCATCCCAAACAACTCCTAAGAATAGAGTTATATTTTAAATTTATAAATTTTAAAATTATGATTTAAGTATAAAAAATTTATTTGATTATCAAATTTGTAAAGAGTTTTGAATTGAATTTTGAATATTTGATGTAATATGTGCAATAAAAAAATTTGTTTGGTTATGAATTTAAAAAAAAAATTCAAAACTTAATTCAAAAATTTATAACTAATAACTAAATACACAACTCAAAATTCTATTGAAAAATTTTATCAACAGTTATAACCAAACTATTTTTCAAATTCAAGTTAAAAAATTAATTATTAACAAAAAATAACACTCATAACCAAATTATTTTTAACATTCAATTTAAAAAATTAATTATTAACAAAAAAATAACACTGATAACCAAACTATTTTCAAAATTCAATTCAAAAAATTAATTATTAACAAAAAAAAAATAACACTCATAACAGCACACACTCTCTCTCTCTCTCTCTTTCTCTCTCTTTCTGTCCCCTCTCGACCACCACAGTTGCCACCGCTCGTATCCGTCGTCGCCCTCTCTCCTTCCAAATTTGCATAGAGTGATTCTGATTTCTCTACCAGACCTCACTGTGGGTCAATGAGTCTCAATTGGTTCTTTAGATCGCAGATCCACACCCCTCTCTCTCTCTTCAACATGGCAGCGATGACCTCCACTGCCGGTCCATGGCGGCTCATCGCCGAACTCATATTACTGAGTTCTAGTGGCATTACTCCTCAAGTCCGAGGGTTTCAAGCATTACCGGTGTGATCGAAACATATCTATGGGGATGAATATGAAATGTATGAATATATATATATATGTATGTATGTATGTATGTATGTGTTGGTGTTTGGTTGTTGAGAAAACAGGGAAATTCGAAAATGAATTTTTGCTCCCTCTCTCTCTCTCTCCGATTAAGGCATCGACACCACCGTGGTAATAGACAGAGGTGATAGCGTGGAACCAGTCTTGTAACCGAAAAGGAAATTAGGAAAAACATCGAAGGGTATCAAAATGATTAAATTAGATTCCCTGATCTGTGATCTCAAACACACAAACACACTCTCTCGATTTGGATTATGATTTTGATTTTGATGATCCTGAATTAGTTCAATCCGCCGATGAAGAATGTTCAAAATCATAACATAACATGTGATCAATTTCCCAAAAAAATATATATATATTGTTCCGATCAACTGGCCGGACGTTCAAGGGGCATCCGGGAGGATGACCTAGTAAACTCAAAATTCAAAAACTCTGCAGAAGACGAAATGTGAAAGAGAAATATGTTTTGAAAACTCCATCCAAACGTGAAAGAGAAAATTGTTTTGAAATATGTGGTAGAGTCACATTTTCAAAACTCCATCTAAACAATGCATGCAATAGAGGGGTAAAATCATGATTTCAAAGCCACACCAAACATAGCCTTAGACTTTTTTTATTTATTTTTTTTAAAAAATAAAATATTCAATAAAAAAAATTAACTAAAATAATTAATAAAATAAGCTTTCACATTAAATCTATAATCATTTTATTTTTTCTCTCACAAACATTACATTTAATTACAAAAAAATCTAACTTTCTTTCCAAACACAAATATTTTAACTTACTAAAATAGTCAAAAACAAAAATAGTCAACTTCCCAAAAGAGACTCATACATATTGCAAATAACATGATTGCTATTGAAGATCAAAAAGTAAAAATTAGGCCTATTTTGACAATTAAAAAAAAAAAGGTCAATTTATTAATTTATTAGCTTATTTAAGTCATATCACTTCTCTATTTTTTTTTTGTACTTTTTTTTAAAAAAATAATAATTTTTTTTTATAAAGTTAGTTTTTTTCCTAATTCTCAAAATAGGCTTTAATTTTTAGTCTAATGATTTCACGATCAATTTATATATTAAACGTTATATTTTCTCTCACGTTTTATCTAATTATCAACTAATCATATTATTTACACAAGATTACATGATTAGGTCTAAAATGTAGGCTGATATATCATTTTCCTATGAGAAAACATTATAATACCAAGGGTTAATTGTAGAAAAGTAAGTTAAGGAAGGTATAAAGCATGAGATCTAGTAAACATTTTTTTGTTGGTAAGAGGTTCGCCCTTTGTAAAATAGTTTGGTGAGAAATCCTTTCACTTATTTTGAAGGACATTTTATTGTCAATTTTACCTTTTAATTTAGCTGTTGACTTTCGTTGACTATCTGTTCAAATTTTTTCCCTTATTGTAGACACCCCATTTTTGACCGTCCTTAAGACTTGGACGTCATTGTTTGAACACTCGATGATTACCCTTGTTTGTGTTCGTCTTGAGTTCTTGGAGGTTTCGGCTACGTGCCTTACCTCAAGACCTTTCGACTTGTTTGTTTTGTGTTTGGTTTTGCATCAAACACTTGTTGTTTTGCTTCTGAGGGTGGGAAATAGCTTGTAGGCCATCCCCACACCTCACCGGCCATGGCTTGAGGCCACCGGCCTTGCTTCCTTGCCACCGGCCATTGGTGATGGCCGGTCGGCACTATTGATGGTCGGTCGGCATTGTGTTTGGTCGGCCGGCCACTGATTTTGGTCAATCGGCCACTTTTTCTGGCCGAAATCTTTTCTTGAGGGGGTTTGAACCTTTTGAACCCTTGGTTTTACCTTCTTGAGGAAGTTTGAACCTTTTGAACCCTTGGTTCTAGCTTCTTGAGAAAGCTTGAACCTTTTGAACCCTTGGTTTTAGCTTCTTGAGGAAGCTTGAACCTTTTGAATCTTTGTTCTAGCTTCTCCAAGAAGCTTGAACCCTTTGTCTAGCATCTCCAAGAAGCTTGGCCCTTTTGCCTAGCTTCTCCAAGAAGCTTGGCCTTCTTGGCCCTTTTTGCTCCAAGCTTCTAAGAGAAACTTGGACACTTCTTCCTCTATAAAAGAAGAGCTCATCTGCCATTGCAAGGGTTCCAAGAAATTTGTCTAAGGCAAAAAACATACATCTCTCCCTAGATCTCTACATTTTAGCTTCAAAGTGCTTAGTTCTTGGCTCCATTACACACCACCTCCTATCCTAACACCTCCACCATCACTCTAAGCATCTTGGAAGTCATTTTCAGAGGCTAAGGGACTGGTTTTTTGGACCAAGAAGCTGCTGTCCCCTTTTGGCAACAAGGGTAACACACTTTACCCTCTTTGGTCTTTATTTTGCTTCATCTTTTAGTCATACTTAGAAGCATTTTCGAGCTTTGTCATGAATTGAAAAAAGTCTTTTTTTGAGCTCCTTTTTAAGTTTGTTTAAGATCACTTTTGTGTTTGAGGTTGTTTACCCCCCCTTAGGCCTTGTTTGGCCTCATTTTGTGCTATTTTTGGTGAGCTTCGGGACCACCTTGTTTGGGCCTCCTCACCACTAAAATCTTGAGGGATTTCAGTAGTGAGGATGGTGTCTTAAGGTCCTAAGAAGGAGAGGGTCATCCCTTCTCCTTGTTGTCTTCAAAAAGTGCCATTTTAGCCTCATATGTGAGCACCATTTTTAAGTTCATGTTGGCTATGTCTTAAGTGTTATTTGTGCTTATTTTGCCATGATATAGCACTGTTTTTACTTGGTTTAGACACACCATGCATGCCTTGCATACTTGTCTTGTAATGCCATGAAATTGTCTTAACATGCTTTGTGCTTTGAGCCTTGTTTCTAGCATGATTTTGGCTTTGCTTTGTGACGCTTTTATGCATGTTTTAGTGTGCTTGAGGACTTTTTTTGGTTGTTTGGGTCATCCATGCTTTGCTTTTTATAGCTACCATGTAATCTCCCTTGTAGGCCTTGAGTGTTGGACCCTCTAGCATGCTCTATTTGCATTATTTCAGTGGTTTGGAACCACTTGCCATGTCATTTCAGTCCTTATGGCATGCTTGTATGCTTGCATTTGATGCTCCTTTAATGCTTTAAGAGGTTGGTGTCTTATGCTCCATGTTTGGCCCCTTTTGCATGCCTTTAAAATTAGGCCATTTAGATGCCATCTAGGTGTGTCTTTGGCCTTGTTTTGGCATGATTTGGGGCTGTTTTGTTTCACTTTGGTCATTTGCTTCATGTGTCACATGACCATAGTTTAAGTCCTTGGGCTTGGTTCCATGCCTTGCATGCTTGTTATCTTAGGTTATGTGCCTAGTATACATTGCTTGTGCCCATGCTCATGTTGCATACTTAGCTCACATGCTTAGGTTGCATTTAGCATGCATGCCTTGCCTTTTGATTAACCATGATTAAGGTTAGGCCCCTTGTTTGTTTGTATGCATTTCATTCTAATATTGAATTGCATGCTTTGGCTTCTTGGGCCATCACGCATTGAAATGCGCGATTGGTGGTCCGAGGGTCGAGGACCATCCTCCTTTGAGTCACAAACATGATAAGGAGGGTGTTGGTGCAAACATTGCTTTGAAAATACTTTGCCATGCCTTGTCTGTCCTCTGCTGCTGTCAAAACAGGTTTCTGCAGGAAGCTTTGGCCGGCCGACCATCAATACTGCCAATCGACCAAATATTTGTGGCCGAGAGCTCCATAATTGGTCGATGACCAACTCCCTTTGGCCAGTGGTGATTCTCCATGGTCGGTGGTGTTCCACAGTGTCCATGGAGTGTACCTTGGGACTTGTGCAATTTTCAGGGGAGCAGAGCAGGGAAAAC